TGACAAGAAGATTATGAATATTTTATCTTCGAGTTTTTAAATTGTTGACGTATAATGGTGAGTGTTCTATTGTATTTGCTTGAGTAATTATTTAATCAATTAATTGTAGAATTTTGTTAGAACATCAAGAAATTCTGTTCAATCGGCCATCCAACCTTTTGTCAAGCAATTTCGATACATTTGGTTTGTTCATTCGTTGACGTGGTTACTATCGAATTTTATTCAGCGTTTTCGAAGTAATGTTAAAATTTTATATTTATCATATATCTGAAGAGGGTCTAATACAAAGACCGAAACATGTTATATTTTGGTATGGAATTCATGTAATAGAATGATTTAATGTAATAGAATTTGATTATTTATTATTTTTTAATATTGTGCGTTAGTATTGACTCTTATATGCCTTGATTTATATTCGATTTTTATAAATAAACAGTAAAATATATCTAATGGCGTAGCTGAATCTGGTACATTCAGTCCAGATTCTTGAGTGAATTGAACATTTTCCTTTGGTCTGCTTTTTTGTTCCCATCTACCATCTAAATTTTGCAAACGAACAATCAAAGCTTCATCTTCACTATCGTACTCATCAATGATATTACTTTGTAAGCTGTGAACAATTTCTTCACTTTCATCGTTTGAAACTGCTTCGCCATTACTATCGCATAAGTCGTCTACAGACTCACAATCGCTTGGAAATTCTACTATCTCTTCTTCCATTTTCAGTAAACGAAAGAGAACCTTAGCAACGAATTAAATTTCGAAACAATGTTAAGTCAAATAAAAATTCATCTTATTTTACACAGAGTAAATTATAATCACTCGAATATAATCAAATCTCATGTACGCTTATGAAATGAATGATTTATAGTATGCAAACGCAATCATAGAAATTATTAGGATACAAACTAAACATCAAATCATTAAAAAATACAGTTTCAAAGCATTGGTGTAATTATAACAATAGAAAACGTCATACAGAGCGTAGAAAATTATTATTACAAGAAAACAATTTTTTTCTATGTGCAAAGCGAATTGTTTGTAAAAATTATATAACGAAATTAGGAAACTTGTAGGAACGTTCGCCAATAGAACATTTGAAGCATATAGAAAAGGTAATAAAAGTAGGCATATGTGATGATATCATTACACAATCGTAAACATAAAAACTGTATCTCAATATCGAATTATCAAAGAAAATAAAACACTAATAACTATTTTCGCTGACACGATTGACTAATGCTTGACAAAAACAACTGAAAATTGCGTTCGTTGACACGAACAATTGGTTTTACGTATCCATTTATGTAAATGCATCATTTATTCATGCAAAAGTATATTATTCCTGTCCACCGACGCAATTTTCAATTGTTTTTGAGAAACATTAGCAAGTCATGTCAGAGAAAGTAGTCACTAGTGCATTATTTTTTTCGTGGATTATATTCATTCCGCGAGCTAAACTTTTCAAAGTTTTAAATTTTAAATGTTTATTCTGAATGAATAATAAATAAAAATAATCATTTGTTAATTTTTAAAATTATTTTTTGTATTTTCGTCCGCCATTTTGAATCCGCCATTATGAGTTTCGAAAATCTGACAACGGTTTCGTAATCAGCGACCCCGAAGACCCCCGAGTGTCGAGTTTCATGTAAATCAGCCAAGATTTCGGATTTTGGTCCGCCATATTGTATCCGTCATTTTGAATTTCGAAAATCTGACAACGGGTTCGTAATCAGCGATCACGAAAACCCCCGAGTACCAAATTTTGAGTGAATTGAATGAAAAGAAAAATTCATGGCACAAAGGGTTAACAGCATAAAGCATTATAAGTCGGATTGATACAAAAATGCAGTTTAAAAAATGAGCGAGCATAAGATTTTCACAGATTGTTACACGCAATAATAGAACAATCTACGATCTATTTCTCTATAAAAATTCTTATATTTTTCGTGATACTTTGGGATATGACGCACACATACGTTCTTAAAACACATTATAACTGCCCCACATCCACGCCATATGTGCCATGTCGCAATCACTGTAACTTTCATATTGTGTTGAATAACGATCGCTAGAATTGAAAGAGAACCAGTCACAATATATATTGATTTCATCGTTCAATTATTTATTATCTATCCGTACGTTTAAGTACACGATACAACGTACATAGTCCAACAAAATGATGCTATATCGATATGCAGAGTTGGGAAGTTATTTTGTAAAAATAACTAGTTACAGTTGCAGTTTTTTTTCTTTCAAAAGTAACTAGTTACAGTTCCAAGTTACCGAGACTCAAAATTAACTTGTTATAATTACAGTTACTAAAAAAGTAACTTTTCAGTTACTTTTCTGTTATCATGACAGAACAATATGCGTACCATCCACATCATTAGGGCTATCAAAAAAAAATAATTTACGTTTACAATTTACTGACCGTATAGTTGCGTCAATCGTGACATTAGCGAGTTTTTGGAATACCGTTTATCCAGATACGGTGAACGTTAAGGTCAGGTTATCTTCTTCTCAACAACTAATTAAGAAAAGGATAACATGGCTTTAGCATTCACCGTATCTGAATTCACGTTATTGCAAAAACTCCCTATTATGGGTACGACGCTATTAACGCTATCAACGCAAACGCTACGACGTAGGAAATCAGGTGCCGTTATCAAAAATTATTTACAGCAATGAAGAATAGGTACGTTCGGGGATATGCTATCAACACTACCATCGTAAACGCTATGATCGCTCATGAAACTCACTATCTCTATCGCGCTTTGGCTACACGTACAGTGTTAGTAGCGTTTGCGTTGATAGCGTTAATAGCGTCTCCCCGAATGTACCCATAATAGGGAGTTTTTGCAATAACGTGAATTCAGATACGGTGAACGCTAAAGCCATGTTATCCTTTTCTTAATTAGTTGTTGAGAAGAAGATAACCTGACCTTAACGTTCACCGTATCTGGATAAACGGTATTGCAAAAACTCCCTAATGTCACGATTGACGCAACTATACGGATGTATAACTTATCCATAGTAAATGATCCCCCATCCAAGTTTTGGTTGTCACAACCAGATCGCGTCTAACTACATTGATGTAGTTGACACATAAAAGTAAATAAATTGTATCAATCATACACATTCCTAAATACATAAAGTCAACTCTAGGATGATGTTTCTTTATTTCTCACAACTAAATATTTTTAGTTATGTGAACTATATCTTTTTTTTCCGTGTTAATTTAACTCAGATGTTAATTTTACTGAAAATAATATGTTTCTACAGTTTGTTTACAAACTGTGTTAATATACCTCTTTTTTGTATTTTTTTCTTTTACATAATATTCGAGTAACTTTCTAATATATTCATCTTGTGTTAAAGTAACCAAGAATTTGAGTGGGTAGTTTGGGATATGTGATTTATGTTAAATTCGACATTTTTACTAACAGTATACATAAAGTCAATACCCGGAAATTTTGCGCTGTGCCAAGATACCCAGATACTTATGAAAATTCACGGATAGTAAATGATTATTACGTATTCTTCAATACCGTCTACAAACTTATTTTAGCAATAACTTGCCTAACGATTACCATTGTTTTAATTTTTTTTCTGTAAACTGATTTAAAGATCTATGCGTCATTTTCGAAATGTCTTTCTATTTGAGCAATCGTGTATTTAGTGTTATTTTTCATCATATATTTTCAAAAGTTATATCTGATGAATTTGTGTATTTTTGTTACAAAAACATTTGTACTTCTTGCGATATACGTTACCAAAAATAGATGAGTCACTAGCAATATGGACAAGATCAAATTAAAAGAAAGAACTTGACAGCATAGATATAAAAAAATAACGGTAATATATTATTTACTATAGGGAACTGTCCTCCAATGAGCTTGAGCTTGACATATGTTGGCAAGGTCATCACTCTGAGTGTCCTTGGATAAATTGTAGCAGTCATTCGTAGTTCCTTAAAAAGTTATTAACAAAAAAATTCATTAATGAAACCTAATTTTTGGACATGACTGCACTCCGATGAAACAAATTTCCTGCTTTAACAGAGCAAAATATTTTCTTATATAATTTCTTATATAACTGTGCTTTTCAAGCAGGGAATTTGTGTTTTGAAAAGTAGAGGATTTAAATTATATGAATTACCACTATGTAAAAGTCAGTCCAGTCAATCAGTGCCGTGTGTCATGATATATTTACTACTTTTTCTAGAAATGTCTGTTTTACAAACACAAATTCTTTGCTTTAAAACAACATTTTTTTATGAACTTTTTTTGTTAATAACTTCTTAACGAACAACGAGCTAAAATAGTCCCCTATAGTAAATGATACCGTAGTTATTTATAATTAAAATAGTAACAGAAAGCGTAAAATAGTTACAGAATACGATAATCATGCTTTTCGCAGTTCTGTCGATATTGAATGCGATGACCACGCGAAACCTTCCATAGCACCGCCACATATTGTGGTATGCAACGATCGCACAAAGCTTTCCACTGCACTGCCAATATCAAATGCGACGTGTATTTTAGCGAAATATTACCTATTAATATATGGTACGATATATTAAAAAAATCTTTGAAAGAACAATTTTCACTTAAACATTTTTGATGTAATAAGTATAAAATAAACGTTCTAATAAAGTGGTAATATTTATAACTCCCATTACCAATTCACGTCAATTTCAATGTAATGGGTACTATTCATTGCGGAATAATCTCTTCGATAAATACTCATTGCTTATATCGTTGATTAGAAGAGGTGATTAATTAATTATTGCAGGTACCTGCTGTGCGGTTTCTAATCGTTTATAAATTATTTCAGTACACGAAGTTGTTCGCGCTGTTACCCAATCAGCAGACCACATTGATTAAAGGTTTTTTAAATATTTTTTCTTCATTGATTTTACATTTGTAGGTTATCATTGAAAAAAAACATTTTTTAAACATTTGAAAAATATTTAATTTACATTTAAAATATTTAATTTACATTTAAAATTCATGTGTCAACTAAACGTTTCTAAAATATTTATTTTAGATTTATTTTACATTTATTTTACATTTATTTCGCATTTATTATAGTCTCTTGTAACATACATGCACACGTAATTTAAATATATTCTTTTTACGTTCCTTTAATATTTATTTTAGATTTAATTCACATTTATTTTACATTTATCTCTAGTACACACTTTTCTCATGTATGTCGTACACGAATAGTAACAAGACGCCGATACGTAATAAATACACGACAATTTTTTTTCAAGTTTATTATATTTTCAAGTTTATTATATTTTCACATTTACGTATTACATGTTTTATTTCTATAAATGAAAATAAAAATATATGTTCGTTTATATACGAAAAAAATGATTAACATTACACATAATACAAAAATTGATTAAGTACCCAGATAGCAAAATGCTAGCAGTATGCCAGCAGTATGCCAGCAAACTAGATCATGACGTTACAGCAGATGTCAAGCTACTGCTTCCTCATTAAGCTTAGTTTCTAACAGCATAATCTGCCAACATAGAATGACTGTAGAAATGCAATAGAAATTGAGCATTCTTTGTTATAAGTATCTTCATGGTAAATACGTAGCAAATATTGGGCAAAGGTTGCCATTTCAAATACTAAAAGCAAAAAGACAGCAGAAATCAAGCATGATTTGATGTCAAATTGTGACAGCGAAATTGTGACGAG